AACTCAAATTTAATACAATTCTTTCTATAGATATACTATAACTCTCTTTTCTTCCATTTGATTATGTGGTGGATTATTTTATTTTATCTTATCAGAATGTGAAAAAAAATTATATATTCGAGTTTATGTGGTGTCAAGGAAACTTAATTTGATTTCTTTTAGTTGAAATACAATAAAATTATTCTGAAAACAAATTATTTATTTCTATCAATTCATAATGTTTGAGAATTTCTCAAAAATATTAATACTAATTTTGGATATTGATAAATCATGAAGGTAAAATAGTTTATGATAGTTGTAACTTGTAAGATACGTAATATTTTAGATTGCCAATTATCTAACCGGCTTTAAATTCCTCGAATTTTTCTCATTTCTACTTAACTTGTTCCTGAAGGATTGGAAACCCTAACTTAAGAACAATCTGTCATTCGCCTTTAAATCTATGCAACACAAAATGCATTCCATTTATATATTACACAAAGAGGATTTGAGAAAATCCAATCCTGGTAAAGACAAGAAACTTAATCCTATGCCTTTCATGAGTACCAGCCACAACATATCTTGTAACCCGAATTCGGTATTCGACCGGTTTCCCGGATATATTCGGCTTCAGACACTGCCTTCTCGGCATCACGGGCTTTTCTAGCTTCCGCTAAAGCCCGTTTCTCTTCAGACCTTTGCTTAGCCATCGCGATTTTCTTCACTATCTTTGCTTCAGCTTCAGCTTTCATCTGCTCAACTTTGGCCTACAAACAGAGTTTTAACAATGCTTTAGCAGTGAATATGGTGCGAGTGATCAAGCAAAAGGCTCATATATACCTCGATGCGCCGCATTTCTGCTTCGAGTTTAGCTTTCTCATGACTTTCCCAGGCTTGGATTCTGATCTCCTCACGCTTATACCTGAAATGTTTCAGTTTCAAGAACAGAAGAAGCAACACATTTTAAGTCTTTTACTCTCTTATGTTTCTTCACCGAACACACGAAAGATTTGAGGTCATAAGAGTATACATACCTTGCGTTATGTTTGGATTTCTCTGCTTCTTCCCACGCAGTCGCTCGTTTATCAAACTCAATCCTCAGTGTCTCCTCTGTATCTCCATTGTTGTTATCGTTCTCTTCTTCTTTGCTTGCCCAAGCCGCAATGTTCATCTTCCCTAATTGAACTCCAAGAGCTACTATCTCTCTTCTCGTCTTCGCTTTTATTTCTTCTTCAGATAGCTGTTCACTTCTTGTGTTTTTCGACGGGTCTTGCGACAATGAAGATTCCTCCTTTTGGCCTCCTCTAGGAGTAGATGGCAGAGATGAAGTCGGGCTTCGAAGAGGAGTTGTTGCATCAACTGGTGTAACTGATCTTGAAGGTTCTTGACTCGGTATAGGCGTCATATCAGTTCCCATATCTCTCATACATACAGAACGAATCGCAGGACCAGCTTTACACATACAAAAACCACTTATCTTGTCAAGCTCCAATAATCTAAACATTTTACGCGAAAAAAAAGAAAGAACTAGTAACCTTTTGTTACCTCTTGTGTCATTATGTGATGAAGCCTTTGTTGTATCCACAAGATCATTGCTTTGTGTGGATTGATCGATCAACGAGTTTCCTCCATATCCTTGAGTTAGAATTGGTTGTGGCGCCGAGGGAACGAAGTTAGGGAACTTCTCAAACACATCAATTTGTGAGGATTGGTCTGGATCCATCCTAGATTTGTTATGCTCGTAACCTACATTATCCGGGACAACTCTCACGGGCATACGGTTCCCTTGACCGTTCTTCCTCATCACCATGTTCTGTCTGCTCATTATCCACTTCTCAGCATCATTCCATTTTGATGGAATTTGTCTTGAAGGGTATGCTCTCGAGACATGATTCTGATTCGAACGCTCACCACGACCACGGTGAAACTCAAAGCTCGAAGAGCTAGCATTACTGTCATAATCAAGATTTTCATCTTCTTGAGGTCTCGTTAGGTGAGGAGGAGGAGGAGCCATACTCAAGTTGTTCTCTTTTCTGAACTGTTGAGGTTTCGGTTCATCGGTTTCCCTCGAAACACCCTCACACCGATGACTCATCGAGGCTTGATTATCGCTCTCGGTTAGGTCCAAAACCGGCTCATTTGGCACTTTAGCTTCTCCTACATCCGTAACTGTAACCGCTACTAGAAGTCACACACAACAAAAACAGAGCAAAGACACAACCTTTAGCCAAATTCAGACTTAAATTGTAACATAGAGCAGAGAGACAAAACAAGAACAAGGCAAAGACGCAAACTTTAGCCAAATTCAGACTTAAAATTGTAACATAGAGCAGAGAGACGAAACAAGAACAAGGCAAAGACACAAACTTTAACCAAGAACAGAGATTTTTGAGTGATTCTAAAACTTAATTGATCAATTTGAGACATGGAAGAAGAAGAGAGAGAGAGACAAAACCATTATCATCGTCGTATGAATCAGATTTAGAAGCTAACAAGCTGTTCTTGAAGAACTCAGTGTCATCTGAAACTTGAAGACGAGAAGGAGATGTTCTTGAAGAGTTATTGTTGGATCCTTCTTTCTTCTTGTTATTGTGTGAACCCATTAGCTTCATTCGCAGTTTAGTCGGCGAGATTATGCTCTTCTGCAATAGACAAAAAAAATCAACTTTCTTTGATTGAAGAGAAAAAGGAAGTAAATTTCTACAATTGAACAGAAAAATCCAGAAAATTAAAGGTAGAAGACAATGGAGACTCACTGTAATATAATGGATACTACAATCCTAATTTGAAATCCGATAAATTTTTCAATGAAGAATCAGATAAACCAAAAAACATAAGTGAAGAGTGTAGTAATGAAGACAAAACAGAGAAGTACAGAAACAAAAAAAAAAGAGATTGAAAACCAGAGAAAATGTTGTACTTTAGAAGAGAGAGAAGAAAGATTTAATTTTACCTGCACTTTCTCTATCCTCTCGTACTCCATTGTCAATGCCAAATCTTTTCTCTCTTATTAGCTCTCAGTT